CAACCCAGGAGTTTTCTTGCTCTTACTCCTCCAATTCTCTCCACCGTCCCACCGGGGCAGGGGGAGTGAGTGAGCAGCTGCATGGTGCTTAGTTGCTGGCTGGGATTAAACCACAACACCACCTTTTTCTCCAGCCTAGCTTTTGTTTCCCTCTGCAGGTAGTGCGGGAGTATGAGAGAGCCATCGTTTTCCGACTTGGCCATCTCCTTCCTGGCAGAGCCAGAGGGCCTGGTAAGATGTTTACTGAGCACCCCCCAGCCATGTTGTTCTTTTCTTCATGCTCTACCAAAGCTCACATGCTGGTGCCCTCCAGGCAAGCACGGCCAGTTAGGAGATGGGATGTCTTTGCTCCCTTCCTCTTGGCCAGTAGCTTCTAATGGCTTTTCCCATCACAGAGGCAGCCTCAGAATTTAAGCCCATGTATTGCTGTTCCTTTGTAGTTCTGCATGCCAAACCCTCCCCTGTTCTCCAGAGCAGCAGAGGCAATTTCTGTGGTTCTGATGATCACTGGCTGCCTTTCTCTTTGTCCCACAGGCCTTTTCTTTTTCCTTCCCTGTCTGGACACATATCACAAGATAGACCTCCGCCTCAAAACCCTAGAGATCCCCTTCCATCAGGTATGGCTGACACCCACTCTCTATATTAATTTTTGAATCTCCTTAATGTTACACCTTATGCTTCCAGCCTTCATCCTTGCATAGAAAAGTTTGGAAAAAAATCTGAAAGTAACCCTAACACCTCAGAAAATGGAAGGCCAAAAATTCACCATAGTGAATTTTCTTCTTTTTTAAAACTACCGCTTTTAATCCCATTCAATTTGACATGCTTTAGTGGCAACATACACCAATAGGGAGTGGCTGGGCCAAAGATACTGGACCAGGTTTTTTTACCCACCACACTGAGGAGCGCATGTAGCAGGGACAGGAGCTCAGACTAAGATCTTACAATGATGTAAGGGTGGTAGTCTGCTCCTGTATAAGCCTGGGAGGAAAAAAGCTAAACTGTCACTTCTAAGCCTTGAACCTGGAACCTCCCTAGCTGTAGCCCCTCTTCTCCTTTTGAGACATGTTGTCTGTGCTGCTGCATTGCCAGTGGGACTGTCCTTGTCTGGTAGCATCTCCCGGCTCACCTCCATGGCGTACAGCACATCCTTCTGGAGATACAATAACTGAGCACACACCTCAGGACACAGCCTATGCTCTCAGAACAGGAATGGACCAGGCAGCGGTGGGAAGGGAAACATGGCATAGGATGACAACCTATGCACAGTCACTAGCTCAGCAGCTGTACTGAGGAGACAGACACAAAGATGCTGCTCAGGGAACTGAGATGCCAAGGTTATATAGTTTGCCCATGGTCAGTCAGTAGCAGAGGTGGAAACCACAAAACCTCAACCATCCAGCTAGTCTTCATCATCCTCTTAATTGTGTGCTTTTCTGTGCTACCTTAGAATTGTCAGAAGCAGCTCCATCTCCCCTAATGTCTTCTGCTTAGGTGGTGACCAAAGACATGGTTACCTTGGAGATAGATGCCGTCTGCTACTACCGATTGGAGAATGCCTCTCTTCTCCTCACCACCCTGACCAGCATCTCCAGTGCCATCCAGCTGCTGGTGCAGACCACCACGAAGCGCCTCCTGGCACATCGAGCCTTCTCTGAACTTCTCTTGGAGAGGAAGACCATCAGCCAGGAGATAAAGGTGCTTCCACAGTGGGGAGACAGCAAAGCAAGGGGTGAACTGAGGCTCCACAGAGAAGCTCAGGCGGTCAGTCCCTCAAAATCATAGACAGCTGTTTGCAGAAGGGTACAATAACAACATGTGTCTCCTTCACAGAAGAATGGGAGATTTTTCTTCTGTTTGTTTTTTGACTCGGATCGCTTTAGGGGAAGGATATACAGTGTGGGCCCCACAGGTGGCCATGGTGAATAGCAGACAGCGTGGTGTGAGGGGCGTGAAGGAACCACTTAGACCAGCTTCGTCAGTGCTTTGTGATACCCCAGCTTCAGTACTTACCCCAGAGAGGAGATTCTCACAAGAAATGTATTCTGCAGCCTGAGTGAGTTGCCATAAACCCAGTGTATATGGGATCTCCAGCAGCAGTTCTCTGTTGCCTTGACACACGTACATGATGATACCAGTCAGGAACTGAATGTTTCCTATGGAACTGAATTGCTTCCACACTTGAACCAGTATGGACTAGTTAAATCATGCTAAAACCTTGGGGCAAACACAAATCAGAAGTGACAGAAGTAATTTTATTTCTGAGGGGCCTCACACAATAGCACACAAAAACTAATACATCTGCCTTACAGTCCTGCAGTTAACTGCCTTGAATTAATGCACCTGCACTGTCTTAGTCCCTTTAAGGGGCCTAGGCCAGGGCTGGTGTTCTCCCCATGCTCTAAAAACATTCCTCTTCACAGGTAGCTTTGGATGCGGTCACGGGCTGCTGGGGGATCAAAGTGGAAAGAACAGAAATGTAGGTAGGAAATGCTGGTAGAGGTGACTTCCCTGGCCCTTTGCAAGTACCTGTCCTGCCCTGCTCACTGCTGCCTGCTCCTCTTCCTGCTTTGGCTCTGGCTCTCTCCCTGCCGCCATTCTGCAGTGGGTAGAGCCTCACCCCTCACCTTCTTGTTTTCCTTGCCCCTTTCAGCCTCTGCCTCATGTAAAACTTCCATATGCAAAATCTGTGCTTGCTCCTGCACTGACAGCCAGGGCAGGATCCTTAGCTGCAGTCTCATCACCATTTCACCACTGCTGCAGGCAGAGTTTGCACCCAGTTCTGGTAGCCCAAGAGGCGCAGAAGACACTGAACCCTCTGTCCTACTTGAGATCAAAGCACTAGCTGGGATGGGCTCATCACTCAGAAGCCTATGCAGAAAAGTGGGACATACTCATCACATAGAGGGCCATGGAAGAGAGAGCCGAGCAGTGAATGAGTAGATCTATTGAACAGAAGGAAATTCCTGTGCCTGTCTTGAGAGCAGGCTCCCAGTGGATTCTCTGATGTTTCACAAAGAGTGAGCTTAGACTTAAGTCTCAGAGGCACAGAGAGAAGAGGCCTCTCTGCTGCCTAGTGATCATGCAAGCCTGGTCATTAGAAAACCAGGCTGGAAAAGAATGGGAATGGAGGTAGAAGGCTAAAGTGAGACACACAAAGAAGGACACCCAGGGAGCAAAGAACGTAAGTGAACAGCTCTGCAGAGACTGACTGACGAGCCCATTCCAAGCCAGATTAACCATCCAGTACTTCCAGGAGAGCCTAAAGCCCAGCTAATCCCTATCCCTTGCTACCACAGCAACAACGTGCAGCTGCCTGCTGAAGTCCGGCAGTCCCTGGCTGTGGAAGCAGAGGCCCAGAGACAGGCCAAAGTGCGGGTATGGCAACACTGAATACCTTCCATCTGCTTCCAAATCATCCCTCTTTCCTTTCCCACCCCTCGTTTGAGGTCCCTGGGACACGGCATGCTAGGGTACAGCTCTGGGAGAATACATCTCCTTTAATTCCTGTTCAATAGCTGTGTCTAGCAAGGGGAGCTATAGCAAGAGTCTGGGCCAGCTCAGCGGAGTACCAAATCTGGTACCTGGCCTACAGGTAGGACAGAAAGACACAAGAGGTCTGGGGTTATCCCCAGGCCCATAGTGATCCCCACAGGGATCTCTTCCTCCCCAGGGTTTCACTCTCCTCTAGGAACTCAGTGCAGGGCTGCCGCCACCGTCACGTACCCTGCACCTTGCTCAGCCCAGGCTGGTCTCCATCCCTTGCACTGAGCTGCTCAAGAGCCTGGATAAGGTTGATGTCCAGCACCCCTCTCCCAAGCCTAGCCTGGGGGCTGCCCTCTCCCATGCTTTTGCAGCAAGTGTATACCCCCTTGTGAGCCCTGATGGGCCTAGTAAAAACAAGTTAGACGTGAGCTCCCAAACTTTTGGGAGCGTCAAGAGGTCTAGTACATGCTGTGATCTTCAGACTACACTGGCCTTGGGAATTTCGTGGTGGCAACCTCCCCCTGTAATGAACAGTCCATGCCCCCTTACTCCCAGCCTCACAGAAGTCTTCTTTATTCCCCTGCTTGGTAGGTGATCGCTGCTGAGGGGGAAAAGGCTGCTTCTGAGTCCCTGCGGATGGCAGCTGAGATCCTGTCCAGTGCCCCTGCTGCTGCTCAGCTCCGTTACCTCCATGCACTGCACTCCCTTACTGCGGAGAAACCTGCTGCTTTCATCTTGCCCTTGCCTTTGGATGCCATGAATCTGGTCTCTCCAGCTACCCACAGTCCTCCAGCAGTGAGCAGCCTCCTCGCAGATGCCACAAAGCTCCCAGAAAGCCCGAAAGACAAGAAGGACTCACCCATGCTCTAAGAGCTGTCCCAGAAATGGTTGCCACGCTGCCTCCGGTCAGTCCTGCTCAGAGAGGAGCAAGAAGGCTGACCTGTTGGCAGCCCACCAGCAGGTCCTGGTCTAGAGGCAGGAGGGAAAGCAGCCCAGGCCTGTGCTATAAAGTGGATTGTACATGGAAGAAGCCTCTGCTTGTTTGGAAAGGGAAAAACACGGAGCACAAGGAGCAGGGCTGGCACGTGTGTGAGCAGTGGGTTGAGGGAAGAGGGGTGTAGTCCCTTCCCTTTCACAAGGCCAGATGCACCTTGGCATCCTAGAGCCTGGCCCCTAGGGTCTGATCCATCTTGCCCCATCACCTTGGCAGGAAGGACAGACTAGCCCCTGTGTACTTAAATGCCCCTGTCCCCAAACTGAACAGCCGGGCAGGCAGGGGTGGGAGCCTGACAATCGGTGGGGGAACAGGACAGGGCTCAGCACGCAGGCAGGTTGGTAGGTGCTGCCAGTCTGGTTCCCCGGTGACGAGGAAATGAGCTGGTTCCCATGGCGTAGTCCTGGATATGGGATCTCAGTCACCACCCATGCACACATACATACACATACAGGCAACCAAGGTGCTTAGCCCTAGTTCTAAAATAGGAGGAAGAGGAGGAAAGGGCAGCCTTTAAGGCTTGATACTTCCCTGCAAGGCACATCAGCTGTGCAGAGGAAAGGCAGGCTGTGCTGCTGCTTGCTTCCGCTGGGGGGTGAGGCAGGACAAGGTCTGATCTAAGCATTTTAGAGGTGATCCGTTTAACCAGCTCCCACTGAGCTGACAAGGGGGAATCTGGCACCCCTGGGGAAGACCCAGCTAGGAGCCTCGAGAACAGTAATACTTTTGCCTGCTGCAGCTACCTTGGTAACCTCCACACACACACAAGGAACAGAGAAAGTCCTCAAAACTCCTCTATATCTTTCCTGCCAAAAGCTATTTGAAATGACTGGGAACCTACAGATATTGCAATCCTTTTCTTTGGCAAAGATACAGAGCACTGTCAGAGGAAATGCCACTGCACTTGGTTTCTCTGATCCTGGTGCCCTTTGCGTGGACATCAGCTCTGCTCCTGCCCTTTTACTTGGCCAGCAGCATCTCCCCTAGCTTCAAAGCAGACATCCCCTGCACAGCCATTCCCAGGCCCAGCGTTCTGCTGCTGGTGGCCTGTAGAGGCCAAGACAGAGGGTACTTTGTGGTCTTTCTCTTAATTGCCCACACAGTAGTTGGCCATCATGCATGTGCCTAGCAGGGGTTACCCAGCCAGACGCTCACTCTTGTATTTTCACTCATTTTATTCAGTCCCTCTTTGCCTGCTGGTAGCACTCAAGCACATTGGCACATATCATTAGTAATACTTCTGTTAAATGCAGCTGTGTTACAAGGATGGCCTGCAGGTAGTGGCTTAATACTGCTGCAAAGGACAAGGATCCCACTTCTATTAAGTACAACATATTCTGTATTTAATCAGCCCCTTCAGCTCCCTGGAGGCCTCTTCTCAACACTCAGTGCTCCCATAAAACTCACTCCACAAATATTTGCTGGCCTTTTTACAAGACAAGCTGTAAAGATACTAGAGCTGTGGGAGGAGGTAGAGGATGAGCAAGACAGATGTGGAAGTGGTAGAGGCAGCTAGAAGAACAGCATAAACGCTGAGACAGCACAGAGATGTTGGGGTAGTGGATGAGGAGTAAGGCAATGGATTGGGGCGAGATGCTACTATGAATGGGCACTAAGAAACTACTCAGACATTGCTGTTCTTTAACATTTTCTTTTTCAGGATCCCTTGGACTGGCCAGAGTTAGAAGCTTTGGGACTTGAGCAGGCCCCAACTTCTGAGGTGCTTTCTTGGAAATACTTTTCTGAAAGAAAAACAAAACAAAACAAAGCCATTAAAAATACTGCAGAGTAAAAACGTGCCCAAGGTACCACATTCTTAACAAACAAATTAGCCTATCCTTCCACTTTGATGTCAAAGAGATAGGATACACTGAAGGGCTAAGGGAAGAAGTTTTAATTCCCATTCTTTCTTCTTCTTCACATCTTATATCTGTGCAGATCCAGTTGAGAAAGGACACAAGGAAGTGCTTTCATGCACCATAAACATGCAACCTAAGGAACTCCCTGCCACACCACATGGGCAAGATCAGTAGGTCAGCAGTGGTCAGACAACTCGTGGAGACAGCAATAATGTCCTGTGGTATAAACACAAAAGGTCTGTGGCCTCTGCGAGTGAAGGGACCTGGAACATTATTTCTTTTCTACCCCAAAAATCAGTGATCCTAAACAGATTGTCTTGACTGTAACAGGGGACACCCACTTAGAAGGAAGATGAAGCCAATTACAGTGATGTCCTAGATATAGACCCTGTGTCATGTATCAAAATCAAACAAAATTACTTTCTTTCAAAAACAGGCCATATACAGCAGTTCTTCCTGGCGCGATCTAGAGTCATGGTAAAAGCCTCCTTGCTTGGCCTCTGACAAAGAGTCTAGACAAAACCCTAGGATGTGCCCAGGAAGAAAAGGTCCTGCACTAAATGGGAGATCAGTGAGGTGTCCTCCAAGATTGCTTCCCTTTCTGAGTCTAGGAGAGGGTTCAGAATATTGATTCTCCTGACCTTGCCCTTCTTTGTGTGTTGCTTCTGGGAAGACTTTCCCCCCTTTCTCCACCTCCCACTCTAACTCTTTGATTCTCTGCAGAGCTTCTTCCAGCTTCTCTTCAAGACCTTCAGATCTCTTCTCTGCATTCTGAGCACGGACCTCTGTTTCTCTGAAACACAGAAACAAATATAATGCTGAAACCTGAAATCTAAGCAGCTGCTGGCAGGATACCTAAAAGACAGACTTAGAAAGCTGAAGCGTTCAGTAGGATTGACTGACTCTATAAAACACATTTATAGTTTCAGAGAAGGGAATTGTTAAAAGATCTATAAGGGACTTCATGGCACATCTATGCAAAACCTACAAACTGAATTAATTTTAAAACTCAGTGTTTGGTAGAAAAGGGTGAGATGCTGATCTTCATTGTGCAAGGATAAAGAGAGAGAACAGTGAATTCTATTAGCAAGGCTAATGAGATGGGCTTACCCTGGATAATGCAAGCTCACAGACAAAACAAGAAGTATGAGGGAATGTAATTCAGAGTGCCCAAGCCTGCTTAAGCATAGAAGAAGTCATTACCAAACACAAACCTTAATGTGGTTCTGCACAGAGCCACTTGGGTGTCCCTTCATTACGTTCCCCACATTAAGGCACAACATTGCATGGCTATACCTACCAAGCTCCTTGGCACTAGCAGGCCCTGGAAGCACTCAGCTGCATTCACATAGCACCTGCAAGTGCTAACAGGACCTGAAGTATTAAGAAGTCTGGCAGAAAACCATCATGAGTACCTCTGCAACATACCTCATGAGTACACAAACCAGAAAATCTGCATGCAGATGAAGGACAGCTGATGTGGATCATGTCCTCAACTAACATAAATCACAGTCAATGGCCCAAGACAATCAGAACAGAAGGAAACCCAAAATTAAGCCAACAGAAATTGGATGAAGCAGAACCTTATCAGAGAGCAGAACAGGCACTTGTCTGGGATGAAACCTTGCCCCACTCATGCCTCCAGCACAGGACCAGTACTCACAGGAGCTGCACTTGCAGATGTTCCAGCATTGCCAGGGCTTCAAACTCTTTCTGAGACAAGGGAGTCGACGACTTGGTGGCAGTCATCTCCCTCTAGTTGGGAAGAGCAAAACCTTCTATAAGTGAATGTGAAACCAACAATGCTGCATTTCATCTGTGGCATGTGCTTGGGTTGGTGCTGGTGTCTCAGTGCACAGTCACAACACACACAAGAGCTCAGTATCAGCAAAACACGTAAAATCAGGGGCTAGTTCAGGCACTGAATTGATCTTGGCATTAAAAATAGACTGAAATCCTTTTCTGACTCAGACATGAAAGTCTCACTGGCTCACAGTCTTGGGTAGCTAGTGCATTCCCTGGGTTATGGAGGTTGGAATTGTCTGTAGCCTGACCAGGAGGGGAAAAAAACCACCCCAAAATATATTTAGAGAACAGAAAGAGGTAGCTCTTCACAGGGTCCAACAGGCATAAGTCAGTTTTCTTCATCTAAAAAAGACAACCAGGGTTTTTCTGTAAAAGTAACTGTTAAAAGGCTCCTACTCTAAGCTTTAGAAGGTAATTGTGATTTCCAGGGATTCATTTCTGTAAAACAAATCAAAGTCCATAAAGAAGTGCTCCTGCATCTCCCACTGTCACTCTGCACTAGCTGCCCACCTCGAAAGCATGAAGGGCAAGGCACACTCAGCAATGCAGCATGCTTAAGGACTGGGACCATCCAGTGACAGTTTGCTAAAGTTCCACAATTCCTGTACCTCCAGGCTCCACTCTGGATGACTGACTGCAAAAGGCAGGCCCCTATGACTTCTGAAGAGCAACTTTACCAAAGAGCACCATCCCAAAGGCAAGTGGAGAAAACAAGGACCTAGGAGGCCGAAAAAAATGAACTTCTTGCTTCCCTGTTGTTTTGGGATCTCCCTGCATATCTCAACCCTCTTCAACTCCTCCCATGTGCTCAGTGCCAAATAATTTTCACCATCCCAGTCTCTGCAGTTGGTTCTGATTCAGACTACACACATCACCCATTACTGGTCCCACCAAAGTCCTGGGGCCATGCCAGTAATGCATGGGTCAGGAGGACAAATTGCAGCTGTGGTAACTGTGCTAATGATTATTCAAAGTTGCAAGAAGAGAGGAATCAGAGAGAACACCAGCACCTTGCACTGCCCCAGCAGATCCGACACACGTGTTAAATGGGGTCTCATAACAAAGTCTGAGTAGACAGATAAAACCCAGCTCCAAATCTGCCAACAGGCTAAAACCTTTGGTGCAGTGGAGACTCCTACCCCTGTAACTGAAACAATGTCTGACTTCAGAGACTTCAGGTGGATGTTGGAGTCATGCCCTACGTATCTGAT